TTTGCGGAGGCCCTCTAGCACCAAGTACGACTGAAGACGTGGCAAGTCATTTCCGTTAGAAGTTAAAAATGGTATCAGAGTCGAGGTCGGCTCTGAGGTGACCGTTGCCGTAGGAGCCATGGCTTGATCTCTTGATGGTGGCCGTGTCGAACTCCTTCAGAGGCAGCGTCGTGATGGCTGCCCGCAGGCCATTCTTGATGCTGCCGTTTTTGAGCGTGCTCGCTGGCGACTGGTCCCCCTTCCAGTCCGCTCCCGGGACGCTCACGTAGTGGTTCGGTTTGGCTGATATGTAGTGAGGGGACGAAGGCACTCTCCTGTGTCGCCGTCGGACACAGACGTGGTACGTCGCAAGGGACCCTAGGAGGGCGCCCAGCAGCAGGCATGCCAGGCAGGATCCTACGAGTGTTTGCACTGATACTCCGCTTGAACTGTCACTCACAGCTACCTCCATAACTGTAATGTCAGCTGTGAAGAAACGTATTCTTATTAATAACAATGCATAATTGATTATGTTTACTTACATCAGTGCTAGCTATTTGGTTTTCTGATGTTAACTACCACATTACCATTCAGAATCTAATGAATTACCATCAAGTTCCTGGCATGACTGCCGTTGTTGGTCAAGGCCGCGACACTGGCTGGGCTGGTCGGACAGGCAATGGCGTCGACGTACCCTCTCTTCCCCGTCCCTGCAGGAAGACCATTGCGCCCACGAGCCCCATCCCTCCTCACCTGAAGTGATAACGAAGTGTTTAAGCCTAAGAACCTCAGTTTCATTGCTCCCAATTTCTTCAAAGAAATATTCAGGTCTGCTTGTTAATGTCAGACAGTGGACTTACATAAGTCTAATTCATCCACAGAATATGTAACTGTCAAATTTTACGGCCATTTTCTCAACCATTTGCTAAGTGATAGAGGGACATCTTACCTTCACATGGCACTTGTTCACAGGGCTCCTGACTGGTGTGCAGCCCAATGCAGTCTGAGGCATCCACAAAGGCGTTATGTGAGGCGGCACAACGCCGCGTCCTCTGTCGGATTCCGGGTCCACAGGGAGAAGAGCAAGAACTCCACTCACTCCAGCACGTCCACAGCCCTGGATACATGAAGAGACGGTTTTACCACAAAGCTCTCTCACATTACCAGTGGAATATATTAGGCTACCCTGAAATTTCTATTATTCGACATATGTAGCAATTAAATGGACAAACGTACGAGTACATACCACTGCAGGCATGCTCATTACAGGTTCTCTCTAAAGTGGAGGTCCCTGTGCACGTGCCGCTGGTGCATGTTCGGTGGCGGTACTGCCTGCCACCGTCGCAGGGCTCGTCGCACTTGGTCCATTCGCCCCAGTCCGACCATCCTCCGCTGCTGTCGATAGAGTCGTGCGAATTGTAACAACGGCCGTGGGCACAAACACGCTCCTCCTGACGCAGACTGCCCGTGCGGAGAGGATTGTCACGGTCCCCTGTGGCTATGCACTCGATCCTATACCGCTTCTGGATGCTCGTGTCCCCTGAAGCATTGAGTGCCAGCCACGGGGTCCACGATGACAACTTCCTGGTCTCCGGGCAAGACCAGTCCCCACAGGTCTCGACGTCTTCCCCGCACCCCGTGCAAGAAGCGCCTCCGTTCTTGGGTACGGGCCTGGTGCAAGAACGCTTTCTTCTCCGGATTCCAGTTCCGCAGGTAGCGGTACATCTGCTCCAAGATCCCCACTCGCTCCAACCGCCGTCCACAGGGAGGGCCGTGTAAGCTGCACAGATACAGTAATACATCAGGAACTGGCGTATCAAGTGATCAGTTGATGATACAAGTATACAATAATTAAGTAAGCATAATTTCTAAAGTACAATCATTCCTGAATACTATCACTGAAACTGAAAAAATCACGGTAAACACGCAAAGCGAACCCACATTTATCTACACACTGTATTGAAATAACAGGATCTCACAGGACACTCACAAGGGCAGTGCGGGAGGGTGTGGCAGTAGATTTCTGTGCGCTCTTGCCCCACGCAGACGCGACCACCGTATTTCGGCTCCGGGTTGGAGCATGTTCTGCGGCGCGTCTTGACGGCGATGCCACACGTTGCGGAACACTGGGACCAAGACGACCAGGCAGTCCATCCACCGTGCACCGTGCAATTAGAGACCTGCGTTCGATAGAGTTATAAAGCTTAGCTTGCCGACAACACATTCCTTTTCACATTTGGTGTTGAGGTCAGTTATAAACGAAGAGAACGTTTAAATCACTCAGAGACAAAAACACGTTTCTCAACATCTCGAGAGGACATTTTCAAACATCTCAACAACAAGCACAACCTCTAAAATTCAGTTTATTTCTAACCAATATCAAAATAATCCTAGGAACGCAAAACAGAATCCTCCTCAACGGCCGTACCTCTGTCCTGGCACCAACGCACTCGGCACCTCCACGGGCCGGGCGCGGCGAGTCACACACTCGGTGGCGACACATGCACGGGTCGCTGGAGCCTAACTGCTTGCATGAAGACCACGACGACCAGCGGCCCCAACCTCCGTTAACTGGGAAGGAGAAGAGGGTTGTGAGCTTTTAATTTTACTTTTAACATTTATGAATAGCTGTGTCTCTTTTGAAGAATCACATTTTCCAAAAGCATGTATCTATGTTACTGTTAATATAAATCTGATAATTCACTGAATATATAGATACACCCATGCGTTAAATTAACCAAATAAAGAACGCTCTATTTCATTTCCGAAATATACCTGGATCTGTAGTTTGAGAACATTCAATCACCTCCTGCACCCACGAAGGCACGAAGGGGTTCTTGCCAGGAGGGGGAGAGCACTCCAGCCTGTTGGTGTCCCAGCCACAGTAGGGGTCCTTCGCGGCCAAGCACGCAGCCTTCGTTTTGTATCTGCCACATCTGTGTACTGGCACACGGAGCACCTCACTATCTGTGCCTACGTAGAGTGAATTCTGAAAAAGGAAATACAATTACATGATATTTCTTTTTCAGAGAACGAAAACTAAATATCTATTCTGGACTGCCTGTAGAATGATAATGCACAGACGCACAAACAGAATATGAAAAGAGATAATATTCCTTAACACTTACAGTATCCTTGAGGAATTTGAGGGTATGTATAATCATGGTAGAATTCTGCGGGAACGGAGAAAGGACTTCTAGTAGACAGGTGTGTTCTGTGTCAGGGACGACGCTCATTTTGCGTATAAGGCCTCCTTCGCCGGCCACAAACACCACGTGGATGTTGCCACTGAGGCGCGTAGCTACCACGTCCACAGCCACGTGAGTTAGTCTGACGAAAGGGACGAATATTACTAAAGACTATCGGTTTATTTTGCATTCGTGAAAAAATCTAGATTTTACCTTTAAAGGGAAAAAGTATGTGTGATTTTCACGTCATATTAACATTATTTCGAAAAAAATACTTGATTACTGCTTCACTAGGCACTTAATACCCTGAATCCCGTAAAAAAATAGTTCCCGTTTGTATAAGACTATAAATATGAAAGATAACATTTAAAAATAATATCAATAGTATTACAAGAACATGATGATGTACCTTTCTCCATTCAGAATATAGAGAGGGTCAGCGCTTCTCGGCACAACAGGCTTATCCATGAGCTGGAACTTGTCAGCCGCGAAATCGGCCTCCGTGCTGGTGCCGGAGCCCTTGCACCGGAAGTGGTGATGGTCCGCTGTCTCGGGCACCCACGCCGACGAGGGCGACGGCTGGTACCTGAACGGCCCGTCGAAGGAGGCGTTGACTGCGCTCATGGTATACACGCACACAGCTGAGCCTACAATGCTGTTCCTGGAAGTGACATCCTCTTTAAGTCTTTCGAAATCATTAATTTTTTTCTCTTCTTCATGATAAATGTAGCTTACACTGTTGGAATAGATTTTGCATGCAACTCAAGATGTGCTTACTCTGCCGTCGAAAAGACCCCGTAGAGCATCTGTTCCCTCGGCAAGTAGGTGAGACTCTGGACATAATCGTACGAGAAGGGGAAGTCTCCGGGCACCGTGCACGTGAGGCGCGCCTTCAGGAACGTAGTCCAGTTATCCTTGAGAACGCGCATCCCTCCCGAGTCATTCCTGCACACACGTCCGATCCTTGAGAGTGCGCGCTGGCCATGAAAAAGAGAAAAAAAATAAGATGTAATTAACTTCCCAAATATCGCATGCTTTCACTCATCGGACATCAATGTTTCAATTCCTCGGAGTCATTTCAAGTCCGACCGCCTCTCACCTTCCCGCAGTTCAGGTACTCGACCGCGCTCTCTCTGAAGATGAAGTAGACGAAGCCGGACGACTCGAATGAGGTGATGAAGGTGGGTTCGGAAAGCCACTTCAGGTCATACTGGTGTGTCCGCAGGCTCTCTCCCGGGCCCAGGGAGCGCATGAAGGCTGAATCTCGACCTGGAAATTGGGGACCTTTCGTTACGAAATCCCAGTCTGGAGATATGAATAGTTTGTAAAACACAACATAAACTACCATCGTTTGCGTACTGCTTTATAGGAAGTTTCTTACCTGAGAAATCGGTGGGCGTTCCCACATACAGATCACCTTCGACTGTAAGCAGTGACGTCACGCTGTGGGTGGGGTTGAAAGGGCATCTGGCCACGCCCTTGTCCCATGACTCGATATGATGGATGTTTGATAATCTGGAATTCAGCAGTCAGCTCAGACTTGATTGTCTTAGAACAACCTTTGCATGAAAACGTCACAATAAGTCAATAACTTCACGAGAACCCTGAAGTAATCACCCGACAGGGTTCACTGAACAAACAGGGACGCCGCCTACCTCCTCCAGGTGCACAGGGGGCTGAAGGCGTTGGTGCCACACACGAGCACTCTTCCACGGTGAAGGTGCAGGACCCTGACGAAGTTGTGGCACGCGTCCTGGCTCTGGCCCTTCAGCGTGCACATCTCCACCGTGCTCTTGTTCGCCGCCCAGTCTGACGCCTCCAGCACCTGCAAGC